TATGTATGTGCGCGCTCAAGTGTTATCACCAAGCGCTGCTAGTCCCCACTGTGGTCTCTCTCCAAACCGTGTCTCCTTCCTATTCATCCATTGTGGCTGTGAGGATCCCCCCCAACCACCACCACCACCTCCACCTTTTCACTCATCTTCTCCCTTTCTCTTTTCTCTCTTGCTTCCACAGCCCTAATTACCCATACTCCTCAAAGTGGCCCCTCCTTCAGAGCCTTTGAAGTTATTTTAGCGCAAATTCTACTTAGCTACACTGCAGACAAAACATGGAAAGGGCTTTGTTTGAGGGCCTCTGGAAGTGTGCAAATGTGTGTGTGTTTCTTTTTGTCGATTGAATCAGCAGTGTCTCCTGTTTCGTGTGTTTATATCTAAGTGAATGTGTATACAAGAGAAACCTGCAAGGCCGAGTTTGAGTGTTTGCATACGCTGGTGAAATTAAGTCCATACATACCACATTTTTGAGATTGTATCTGTATATACTGTGTATGTATGCATGAAAGTCTATGCATGCAACTTTAAGGGCCATGCATGAATGCAGGCTTTCTGAATGGTCCGACTGCCTGCCACGGTTGGGTCGGATTGAATGCAGAACCATCTTCTTTGTAACTAATAAAGACATGAACTGAAATGATGTACTTGTGAACACTAGTCTGCTTTTATATGAGGAACTAAACCATTTTGTGGAAGCAGGTTTGTGAAAATAGCATTTTCAGATTTAAGCCTGAAGGCCTTCACACGCTGCGGCGAAACAATCTGTTCACAACACGTGTTGTGAAAATAACAACACAAAATTTGGAATGTTTGGATACAAACTTTTTGAGTGACGTATATACACACACAGAAAGTTTCATGATTTCATAAAGAAAAAATGTGTTCTTGAAAAATAAAGTTGTGCACAGTCTGCACAACAAAAGCAAGAAATGGGTTCGAGGTTGATTCAATTGACATAAGAAGGCAGGGGCAGGGAGAATTTCATGGTTTGATCCAGGAGGTGACTGCTTTCGTACATATTTCAGGATGTCAGTGGGACAGTTTGAGCTCTTGTTGGCAGAGCTGGGACCACATCTGAAGAGTCAGAGGAATCATTACAGAGAGCCGACTAACCCGGAGCAACGTCTAGCTGTAAGTGTGAGCGAAAATAGTATAACTTTATCATTTCCATATCACTGTGTATTCAGTAACTGTGCATATCTTGAGCTACGAGTGCACCTGTTGTCAAATGCAGTGGTCTGATTGGCCAGATCTGTTTATCCAGATCTGAAAAATCTGAAAAACTGAGCTTGGTTTGAAAAAGTAAATGCCACAAGTTTTTGCGAACAGCTGCAGTAAGAATAGGTGAGTCTGAAAATTATTTTGAATGCATGAGATATTCACATGGACTTTACGCCTCTGGCGTGTATAAGACTTAAGGGCGAGGGTTTTAATCGACTGCACTTAATTGATCTGAGCCCTTATCTTTGCAGCTTACTGAACAGCTTTCTCACTCATGAACCCCTTTTTATGTGTGTGTTTATGTAGTGACAAATGTAGTGACCTTTTGGGCATCTTTATCCAGACAGAAGCACAAATCATGAATAATTTGCTGGAGTGGGGAACGTCACCTTTCCCCTCTTGTTTCTATTATTTATTAATATTACAATTTGCTAACATTGTGGTAATCCACGGTACCCACTGAGGCCCCTGGGGAGAGTCCTGCAGTACTTGTGGTTGTGAGAATTTGTTGCAGCATATTCTGCAGGAGTTTGGAGGCTGAGCAATCCTGGGCTCTTTGTTGTGTCTCTTGAGTGTTCAGTGGGGGGCATTATTCTCCTGGGAGAGACCAACAGCATCACTGAGTGGCACAACAGATCAAGCTCAATATTAGAACCACTTGCCTAATATTGTGTAGGCTGTGTTCTCATCTGAGGACACGTTCTTGTTGTGTTCCTTGTCCTCGGGGTGGACAATTTCCAGGAAAGCTGACCTCTGACCTTGACCTTGAGGTCGAGGTCAGTGAAATTCGAAATTCCCTGAGATTGTTAGTAGATGCACCTATGGTATCAATATCAAAATCCAATGTCACCTCATTCTCAAATTATCATATGCACAAACTTGGGTGTCCACATCGCCTGAAGGCAATTTACTGAGAAAATAGCTGCTTGAAAAATAGCTAATTCTGAAGTAAATTAGCTTCAGCTACACAATAAAAAAAATACTTGTTTCAGTTATCTGAGTAGTCACATCTATGTCACATATATCCATGATGAATTACATTGTGTTGCAACGCAATTCATTAAAATTTCTATAGGTGAGTCTGTAGAGGTGTATTAAGTGTATTTTTTTTCTCAGAAAACATAATTGAATAAATTTGACTGAATAAATGTAAAACTGTTCTTCAGTTTTTTACTTGATGGGTTTAAAACTTGTAGTACAAAAGTTGTGTTCAAAGTCTTCTTGGGTGCCAGTTCACACTCCATTAGATTCATTTACCGGCACTGGCAGTGCCAGTCGTTACCTGAAATTAGGTGAAAATTGGAAAAGACTAACTCCAGAGGGAGTCAGACCAAATGACATTTGCTTAATGACAGTCAGCAAAAGAATACACTCTAATGTCTTAGCAGTCACGCTTTTTCACTTCTGTTCAGCTTTAAACACACTTTCAAGTTGGCAAGTGAGAGACGCGGCGCCTGCTGCCGTGCTGCTGACAACGCAGACATGATTCCACTAGTCTACTTTCTGAAACGGCAAAAGCACTTTTAAATTTGTTTCCCTTCCCACAAACACATCTCAAGCAGCTCGTAGCTGTTTTTTAGAGTTTCACTGGGTGCTAATTATTTCCTAAAGCATTGTATGTGTTTTGTCTGCAGACAGCCTGGCGGAGGGAAACTCCAGGGAAGCGGGAGAGTTGACGAGTCTTCTGTGTTGATGAGAGACACGGCTGAGGATGAGGGTGACGCTGAGATTGGTGGATAACTTGTGAAATGAAGACAAACGAAAAAGCAAAGAAGGGGGGGAAAGGAGATAAATGAGAGTGCTAAAGGGGAAAGAGAAGACTGGGTGGGTGAGGGGGGTGGCGGGCTGGATTTGCGAGACAAGTGCCGAGGCGTGAATTGGGGCGTCCAGCATTTCCCATCTGACTCAGCCCTACGCCGAAAAACCAAATTCAAATGAGAAACACAAACATTTGCAATGCAGCATTTTTCCAGACTTGTTGTTACCTGGTGTGGCCTCTGCGGCCTGCGCTTACAGTAAGTCCACACACAGTGTCCTCTGAAAGAATGTCTGTGGTCGGACTGATTGACGAGGACGTTCACCACAGTGGAGAATTACACAGGGGATCAATCCAGTTGTGTGTTGGGCTGCGTGCTGATGACGGTCTGCCACCCACTCCTGGGCGGGCTGCGCAGTTGGTCTCTCAGCTGCCGGTGCAAAGTGTCCTGACAAGCCTCCCCGCTGCGTGTAGCAACATATGGAAGCTCGCATGTACATCTATGCAGACACACATACACCCTACTCCACCCTGCAAAGCAGACAAAAGCATTTGACTGATTAACATTCTCTTTCACACCCACTTAAGCCCATATGTAACTCACATTTCTGCGTAAAGGACACATGCTGGCTCTATAATGCATCACAAACCCATAGGCTGCCTGTAATAAGACACAGGCCTGCATAGGAAGAGTTCTGCTTCAAGTGCCAGAAACGGTGCAACACATGAGAGAAGCTGCCTGCGCGAGACACATCATTGACTTATTATTTGGTTGTTTCTGATCATTCTTTCCCCAGACTGTCAGATCCAGTTTTCAACGCCACAGCCAAACAAAAAAAAGAATGGAGCCAGGTTATGTGACTCATGGAAAATTGTACTGGATTTAAAATAACTAAAGTAAATACTCAGTGTGCTTTTAAATGACTCTGTGAGAGGGCTTGATAAATCACATCAATAAATCAGAAGAAAATTGGTCTTTCATTTGAAAAACAAAAACCCAGTAAGTACCAGTCAGTTTAAAGTAATGAATGTTCGTTTCATTTGTGTATTAAACTCTGACCAATTTAAATATGAACTCAAATCATAATCCAATTTAAAAGCATTTCACAATCCTTAAATGAATACTTATATGTAATGTAATGCTTATATGAAGCTGTTATTTTTAAAAGAGACTGTGATCTAACTTTAGCCTCAGCTCAGTTATTCATCTGACATGAATGTGAATGGGCAGCATGATGATAGTTAGCATGAGCACTGTTGCTTCACAGCAAGAAGGTCCTGGGTTTGAGTCCACCATCTGGGCCTTTCTGTGTGGAGTTTGCATGTTCTCCGCTGTGTGGGTTCTCGCAGCGGGGTTTGGTTAATTCACTCACAATGAGCGCGTTGCTTTGCGACAGACTGGCGACCTCTCCAGGGTGTAGTGTAACCCCCCCCTCTCACCCTATGGCAGCTTGGATAGGCTCCAGCTAACCTGCAACCCTGAATTGGATAAGCAGAAAAAAATGGATGAGAAAAGATGCCTTGACCGCTGACAGTTCTGACTGTCTCCCAGTCCATGCTGTCAGCAGTATTGGTCTTGTATTCACTGAAAGCTGTGAGTCCCTGGGCAGGTCAAATAACAAATAGAAATACATAAAAACACATCCACAGAAAGCAAATTATACTAATTCAAATGTAGTATTTATTTATTTGTGTTTATTCATTATATTGTTGAGATTTAAGAACTAACGCTCGACTCTTTAAAGTAAATTTAGTGTTGCAGGCAGCAGCGAATTAGCTCACTGTATGATAGGTTAGCTAGCCCAACTCTTTCCAAAGCAAACAGAATTAGTCTACGAGCACCTGTAAAAAAATTAACTGACATGTTGTATCAGTATATTTTTAATCCACCTACAAACTGTGTACTGCTCCCCCAGAAAAACCACAACATTTTCTTTTTATCGTTTTCATTTTTGTAAGAAATAAAAACAAACTTTCCTGTTTCCTGTTAACCAAGCTCGGCAGGTTTCTGTTTAATATTTGAGGCATCACAGCGCCATCATAGTGCTAAATATTACTTATACTGGTTATAATGATACTAAAAATCTTCCACTCAAGCAGTGTGATGAGGGTGAAAGCTCAGACACAGGAATGTTTCCAGCTGAAAAATGACTTTAAGGCAAAATGCCTTTATGACAGACATATTTTTGCCTAAAATTCATCCAATAAAACACTCACTTTATTGCATAGCAAAGCCAAGAATGGGCTTCTCGAGGCTTCCTATGTTGGGTTTACAGTCCTGATAGCATCTTTGACTGCAACATTTCATCTTTAGCCATGTTTAATTTGCTCGGTATGTCTGTGAACCCAATGTTGTGTACCTCCCAGGCTCGGTGTATGGTGTGTGTCAAGATGAAGGAGATAGAGAGGAATAGAAATGCTTAGCGATAACCCAGAATATATGATGTGGTAAAGGAACATTTACACTCTACTTATCTTTCCTCTCTGTCCATATCTCTGACTGCTACTCTCAAACAGACAGCTGAGGATGAGACTGGATTTGAGCACGTCAAACAGAATCGCATTCTTTCTCTGACTCTCCCGGTTGCTGTCACTTAGTTGTTTTCTCAAACAGAAAACCCTCAAACTCGCACAAACGCACCAATGAACATTTGCACAAAGCCTGACTTTCTTCAAAATCAAAATGCATGTAGCTGTTGTACCAACAGAACTTTTGCACGCATGTGGGTAAACTCCAAGTGTCGCTGAGCAATGAAACACTGCTTTAACTGCACGGGAACACACACAGTCTTGTCTCCTGACTGTACCATTATGCCAACAGCTTCCCTTAAATTTGTCTGCGGGTCTTTGGTTGTGTGATGTGTGAACAGCTTTCCCTGACAGCATCGTCTTCCTCCCATCGTGACTGCACACACGGGGTTAGTCACACTAAGAGAAAGAGGGGGAGCGCCCACTTTGTGGCTCATCTCCTGCCCTAATTTACGGCAGTAGAAAATTCATAGTCATATTTTAGTAAATTTAAGCCTTGAGAAAGGGCATCGAGTTTCTTTCTCCCCCCCATTTTCCCGTCCCCTCCTTCCTGCTCTCTCCTGTTAAATATGCAGATACAGCAGCATGAGGCTCCTCGCAGGTTCGTTGCAAGAATTGGGTCAGCGACGACGTCATAGCATTTTAAAGCGAAGCAGAGTTTCTTTACAGATTCCCAGAGAAGGTCTGGCGCTTAGAGGAAAGGGAGGAAAACTGTCTGTAGCTGAACTGTGATCTTCATTCATGAGAGGTTGATGTGATTTGGAAAGCACTGCTCAATAAAACCCTCAGTAATATCAAAGCTATACTGATGTTCTGTATAAAGAAAATAAACACTGATATTTTAACGTTCTCCTTTCCTTTACCCATATTTGTGAAACAATGATCAGTTATTTGAATATGAACTTCAACCTGCAAGTTACAGCAATAAAAAAAAGACAGATTAGATTAGATATCAACATTAGATAACATCCAGTCTGTTATTTGATAGATTTGCAAGACTCCTAAAGCCATAAGCTTGAATTGTTACCAGTGACCTAAAGGCTCTGACTAATGTTACTCTCATTGTTCTGTATCGATTGTTCTCTCTGTGATTAACATTGATCACCTTGTTAACACATGTGACTCCAAGCATTGACCTTCCCCTGTGAGTACAAGAGAGACCATATCGGTGAGGCAGCTGTATGATGTTCTTCCTCATCTTTGACCCATTCTCTTTTGGGAGAACCTGTCATTGAAATTCTGTGTTTGACACATAACTCTGCTATTTTGGAATAGCATGGAAACACTGAACTAAACGATCATGGATAACAGTATCTATAGTGTGTTCATGTGATATGATCAAAGCTGAAATAAATGGAGGGTCATCTGTTAAAGGGACAGTCAGTAATTTTCAGTCTTAATTCATTAAAGATGCATAGGCTGCCATGTTCCCCAAATATTTGAACACAGTGGCCGAGAAGAACATCTCGTTTCCGACTGATGGTGGTTTATGTATGTGGTTTACATATTTAGTACGCCAAAGGCGTTGAAGTTGTTATTGTGCCGTGCTGGGACATCTTGATCGCACATTGTGGGGTGCCTGTAGCTCAGGAGGTGGAGCAGGTCACCTACTGATCGGAAGGTTGGTGATTCAATTCCAGGCTCCTCCAGTCTGCAAGTCAAGTATCCTTGGGCAAGATACTAACCCCAAGTTGCTTTCCGATGCATCCATTGGAGTGTGAATGTAGCTAGGAACCAGTCAGTTTAAAGTAAGTGCTTGTGAGAATAGGTGTGATTGTGGCATGTTGTATAGAGTGCTTTGAGTACTCTGGTACAGCAGAAAAGCGTTGTATAAGAATCTTACCATTTAACATTGATCCACTTCAAACCTGTACTGTGCAGTTCTTTGAGTTCTTTAAACCCAGAACATGCTTTTGTCTCACTTAAAATACCTGCTTAAAGAATCTGGAATTGACTGTCCCTGCCAAGCTCAGACAAAGCAAACTGGACTTAGAGGTGATGTTGGTGTAGAAGTTAGACTGGGTTCCTTTATCTTCCATGTCCATCACATTCACTGGCAACTTTTGGACTCTGGACTTGAGCACCAGACTCTGTAATTAGATATTGGACTTTGGACAAATAGACTCCAGACAGTTTGAATTAGCAGTGAAACCTCCTCAACTGTGACGCTCAACACCAGAGCCCCCCCAGACATCACACACACCCATCTACTGAGAACCAGTGATATTGTTAAGGGGAGGGAGGGGCGGGGTCTGCACAAAGCCCAGAGGATACTCCTGGACAATACCCACCCCAGTCACAGCCTGTTCACCCTTCTGCTGTCTGGCAAGTGATACCAAAGTATTCACCAGATTTCAGCAGTTTTTTTCCCCTCAGGCTGTGAGATTACCAAACTCATCCTCCGCACTCCACCGCACAGTTTTTATTACTTGATTATCCATTTGTTTATTTCTAACTTTTTCTCTTACTAACATTTTCTCTTAGTAGCTTAAAACATCCATAATAATATTAAACAAACTCGTATTGCAGAAAGAAAATCTGACTCTTGTTGAGATTAACATGGTTCCCACTGGTGTAATGTTTGTTTTTTCATTCACAATCATTGGAAATGGAGCTGCTGCAAAATAGTGAATATCTTTTCCCCACATTTTCATTTTCAGAATTTAATCCATGCCTTCCAGGAATTTTATGAAAATAGTCGGCATTTGTTTCGAAAGCATGAATGAGCAGGGTTGCCATTCAAATGAAAATGTGGCTTCGGTTAGTTAAGAAGCAATGGCAGGAAAGCGTAGTTTTATAGTGTGAGCAATATGTACTTGAACCTTTTAACCTTGTCATTTCTTCCTCTTGTCTTTTGTGAAGCTGGGTTCATTCAGCACAGCTCATCTTAGGCCTTCTCATTCCCGTGAAAACAGTCTGCTGATTGTCAATTTAACTTTATTAGTTGTCTAACAAACTTCACCAAGGTGAAGTGCCAATCATTTGTTGAAAAGAAAAAAAAAACAGATTGTTTGTTGGTGGAAAGCAAGCAGGAGTCTTTATCCTTTTTTTTTTGCTGCAACACTGAGTCATACTGACTAGCAGGGCACAGTGTGGGATAGGACTGGCTTCAATGCTGTGAACCTGATATATAGGTTACTGTTGCTTCTACAATAACTGGCAAGCATAAAGAAGCCATTTTTTTATGGATACTCTGATTCTCTTCTTGAGCAACACAATCAATGTCAATTCATAATTTCTAACCACCTTAAATCTATCCAACGAGTTTCCATATAACCAGGGCTGCACATAAGTGGTCCGCAGGTGCGCATTCGCTGTCAAAATAAAAGACGCGATGCGAAGAAGTTACAACGTGTGTTTGCGTCCACAAGATTTTCTGGAGGAGGACAGACATTTGTTTAGAACTCTTAAAGATGTCGAAGAAGCAAGCTCCTTTAAGCAATTACTTTGGCGTTCCTCCACCTCCAAAGAAATGTCAGAAGGAGTCCGAACCGCAAAAGAAGCGCGTATTCTCGGAAAAGTGTTTGCAGGAGGTGAGCTGGCTTCAAACAAATGATGAATGCACAGAGATGTGCCCTGTGAATATGCCGTGAAAATCCCACTCTAGCGGACAAAAACCAATTATGTGCACCCCTGTGTATCCGGTCGTTAAGTCTGACGTCACTAGCCGTGTCTGGGCCTAAACTCCGCTGCAGGTCCATATATCA